CATAAAACTTCCATGTTAAATGTTATTTATTGTTCCCCAAGCTCATATAAGCAGTATTTCAAAAATAGTTTATTGCTATTAAACTAACACACTCCTTTTCTTATTGATTGTAAAGATTTCTTAGGTGTCTAAATTTATACCCTCAGGTGCCTTATATTCAGTTAAAAGAAAAATGCTCTTTCAAAGGCTATTCATGTAAATGGCACCTTATTTCTCTCCAGAAACATAGCACCATCATATAACGTAACACTGAGCATGGAAAGCCTGCACTCAAATATGGTGAATCACCGTGTCTCCACTGTAGTGCAGAAGAAGAAACAAGCTGCAAAGGCAAAGGAACTTTTTTTTTTTTTTTAAACATCTGCCACATAGCTTAAATACCTCTAAACTGTCACAACTACCCACCTTGAAGTTATAAATCCAGACAAAGTCGTTGCTCAGTGAATGACCCTAGTATTGTTTTTGAGAGCAAATCAATGAATGATGCAAGCAGTGCTCATGAAATCAAAGAAAGTCAGTATCAGTCCAGGTTTTGTAGGTCAAGTTCCTGTAATTTCTAAGGTACCTACACACTGTGTGACAGGACTTGCTTGTATGGACTGGTTGTGGTTACTTGCAAGCTACTCCTTTTGTGTCTTCTATTCAACAGCAACAATAGATTGTATTTGTCAGAAATATGCATAGTGCAAATATGCCTTGCTGGTTTTGATCCTGCAAGATCATGTTCTTTCATTATGGAAGTCAAAGATTATTTTTCATATGTTACCATGGTAACAAAATGGTAACTGGGTTCCTATTTTCATGTTACATTAATAAAATGCTAAATATTATAAGCAGTAGCAAGTGTGTCTTATTAAGCCTTGATGCTGGATAACAAGAGGTGTTGTGTTTCTGTAAAAATATGAGGCTTGGAATTAATCCTTTGTTTTAAGTCTTGAATCACCATAGTTTTAGGCCTGCTTAGCTGTCTATATGAATGTAGTTAAAGACAAAATCTATTAAGAACAGTAACTCTGCATTAGTTTAAAAGCAAGGAAGAAGAAAAATTGCCTATGGTCTATAAGATTCCTATGTATAGACCTCAATGTTCAGATCTTGATGGGTGTTTCAGATTCTCCAGTAACTGCCTCCAAGTCTGTTAACCTGCACATTGCAAACCCTATGGTGCTTACAGAAAGGTATAAAGGGCGGCAGAAGTATTAATAGCAGCAACTCAGTTCCTCCGGGGTGAAGGAGTAAAAGAGGCAATAACTATTGATTATTCCATTAGTCAGGGAATTGCTTTAACTGTTTGCAAGATCTCAGGTCCTCCAGGCTGAGGGAATGAGAACAGATGCAGGAGGGAAATGGGACTCAGTAAGATTTTATCAAGAGCAATAAAGTTCGGGGGGGGATGGAAACTGCTGTACCTGCGGTAAGAGTCACCCTGAACACATGCAACTAGTGATCACGGTTTGCTCTTTTCTCCATTTTTTGAAGGAAGTGAGTAGTTGACATCTTATAGGAGTAGAACCCTCAGTATACGATACAATGCAGAGCTCTTGGAGCAGGCTCCCTAAGGATTATAAGAAAAGAGGCTGAAACCTTCCATGTTACCATCTGAGTGACAGTATTATCTCCTGGCATTGTAGGACAGACCTAGCAGGTATAGGTAGAACTGGCAAAAAAAATTTCCAGAAAATCTGTTTTTCCTTTAAAATGTTCATTTGTGTAATTTACCCATTTCAATTCAACCTTCATGAGAAAGAATACCTCATCTCCATGCTGGGATATCTAGTGAAACCGTGGGATGCAAAAGAAATGGAGAAGGGAAAACATACTGTAGAATTACCAGTATCTATTTAGTCACCTAGGAAAATCAGTGGGAAACTGAGATTTAGGGAGACTAAATTAAGAAGCTGCTGTGTACAGTAGCACACTGGAGATTCTAAAGCGGAGTTCTGGGTCTTGTGGTTTTGCCACAAAAATCCATTAGTTTCATCTTGAAGCAAAATAGCAACTATTTGAAATCTTGGGGTGTTATAGAACAAAATAATGGTTACATCCGCAGCTCTAAATACAGCGCATCTCATGGCTACCTTACACGTGGGGATGGGTGATGAACAATTTGACTGGAGAACAGACAGGCTAGAGTTAAGCTGTGTGTTAAGGATACAGAATGTCTTTAAGTGGACCATGCATTTCATTTGAAATAGGTGAAGCAGATTAGACAGAATATTCAATTCATACTGCAGGGCATATGCAAACATTATGATATATGTACCATATCCGAAAGAACGTGACTAAGTCACATAAGGGCAGAAAGGTCAGGTCTTTGGCTTCCAATTTAAGAGACAGATTCAGAATCTGAAATTTGGTCTATTACACTTTTCTAGGCAAGTTGACCAAAGACCGTGATCAAAAGAGAGAAACATAGGGATAACCAAGTCTGTTGTTGGACCTCCTGTGAGACTTTGCAGTCATCCCTGCTGAATATGACTGCAATATGACATGAATATGAATATCCATGTGTTTAAAACAAACTGCAGTGTATTAATACTTAATATCATAGAATCATTGAAAATTTAGGCTGGGAGGGGGCTCGGTAGGTCATCTGGTCCTACTTTCCACTCAAAGCAGGACTTACCTCCACATTCTATGTATTTTTGTCTGATTGATAAACTTCCGGTAATCCTAGTTTGGCTACATAAAAAAATATTGAAGAAACAGTAAGCTAGAGGTACTCATCTAATATGCCAGCTTGTTCCCTGTGCCATGTCTAGGAATAACATAGCCTTGATTTGCCAAAGTGTTTTATGAGGAAGATACAGTTCCTGTCAATAGACTTTGGGAGTGAAAAATTCCTCAGGAGAGAGCACACAGATCAAACATCTGCTCTTAGCAGAGCTCCCAGGAGCTCGGGGGCTTGCCAGAATCTCTGTGCTTCTGCACAGTTCTCACAAAGGGATGGAGATCTTTGAGGATGCTGCTGCATCCCCAGGGGTCAGATATTCCATGGGGAGTAAATTCAACATATTTATGGACAATCCAAGTGCCTGAGTGTTTTAACCATACTATCCCTGAAACACAATAGTAATAATCCTAATGAACCCATTTCTGCAAATATGAAATTCCCAGAAAAAAAAAAAAACAGCCAAAGAAGATGTTTCAGTTTTAAATGTTGAGAGGAAGAGGGAATTGGAATCAGACAAATGAGGGAAAGTGTCTTATGGATTCATCAAAACATATTCCTGATGTTAGCTACTGAAATATTATCTTCTCAGGCTCTTTCAGTCTTTGCCATAGACATTCAGGCTGCCTGTGAGGAGAGAAAGGTGTCTATAACAAGCAGTCCAGAAAACCTAACTAAGGCACCATTATGTCTCTATGTCTCCACTGACACCAAGGAGTTTGGACAACTCTGAAGGTCATCCAGTGCTTTGGCAAAGCTGAGTACTGGCCAGTAGGAATCACTGAGAGCATGGGAGTCCTGTCATTGTCACTGAGAGAGCCTTGCAATTCCAACGTGCTCTTTGTTGCACAGAATTCTCCGTTAGATCTAGCTATAGAGTGGGATTCAGTATGAGATTAAGACAGCTGCATTTTGGGCAGTGCAAAGGATAATTTTGTGCATTTGGGGCAATGCAAGGCATATTTTGCCCTCTGCATATCTGCTAGCTTGAGATGGATATATGAGGCATCCCACAGAGACCTATGTATGGCCAACTGAATTGAGTTCTTAGCAAGTAGGCAGCTGAACAGCTCTCTTGCTTCCACCGTTGATGAGATCTCTATTGAATGTAATAGTTTATACACATGGCAGAAATGTAGACAATTATACTTAGTTTTCTTAATCTCACGATGAGTCACACAAAATTATTCAAGAGTTTTAAATGCAGATGTCTGAATAATAGACATCAAAAAGTAGATAAAATAGATTTTATGTTGGCTGACCTGAAGAGATGTCTGAATCGCTACTGCGTAATATGAGAGTCATGATACAGTGTTTAAGGTGGTGGATTAATAACTGAGGAAGAGATAGAGTCTTCTGCACAATATCATAAAACTTTTGTCCAGGAAGTGGAAGATCTGGTTTCTAGCCACTTCCCGGTGTCAAGAGTCTTGAAACCAAACCCTGTGAGTGTGATGTAATCACTACAGTATTGATGAAGAATTGATTGATTAAGATGTTTCAAACACTCTGAGACTGAGGAGGACCTCAAACTTCCCCATTTCCAAATGGAGTTTTGAGACTTATTTAGTGGTTTCAGTCAAATAGGGACAGCCTGACCACAATAAACTGGACCATTCGGAAATTAGGTCAAATTCAGATGCTTCCCTGCTAACATCTCAACTTCTGCTAGCTAAGCCGAGTCACTTCTCAGCATGTATGAAATATTGCCTCTTGGCGTTTACGGAGTTCTGTCATCTAGAGATGACAATAGGGGCAATAACTAAATGTAAGCACCTTCGCAGTTTGACAGCATGGTTAGCAGGTGATTTGAATCACTCAGTCCCTTAAGCCTAACCATTTATCTAGTCCACTTATGGCATTGAAACAAGCAATGTGAATATAACCCTTACAGATTTACTTATAGATCTATTATTTTGTGTACTAAATAAATGTTTAAAAGGTCATGAAGCAGATTAATTGTAGACAAGACTTTGTTTGAGGCCATAGAAAATACACATCAAAGATTTGTGTTACCTCTGAATGCCTGGTGTCACTGAGGGTCTTTCTAGTAACATAAAGAGAATAGCAGTATGATGCATTTTCATTAGTCAGAATAAATAATATGGAGCCAAAGAACTTCTGGCATGATCTTAAACATGCATCTCAAATACCTCTGTCAGCTTCAACAAATGTAGCTATATGGTTTTGAAAGACATCCTCACAAGGAGGATGTGCTATATAATGTGTTCTTTCAATGGTTTACTTTGTAAATTTTCCAAAACTTTCAAAAAGATCATTCTACATTTAGGTCATGTACTTGACAGTGTGTCTTTTGTCTTATTAATAGGCACCACAAGGCCACATAAGGAGGGAGAAGTCCCTGGTGTGGACTATATTTTCATCACTGTTGAAGATTTTATGGAATTGGAGAAAAGTGGCGCTCTCTTAGAAAGTGGAACATATGAAGGTAAGCACGTTTTTACTGCTAAAACCATCTCATGTTTCCATTATGCTTTTTTCTAATTTACTGGAATTGCACAGGGACATCCCATTACAAATGTGTCATTGCTACTGTTATCAGAAATTTGTGACAAGCCATGTGGCAATTGTGAAAATATTTTCATATGTGAAAGCTAAATGCAGATGGGTTCATTGCAATTTTAGTATATTATACTGGTTAAGAGAAACAGGATAATACATTGCACTTACAGGAAAGAAACATTAGTTCTTTATGACAAATACTTGAGGAGATTTCCACAAAATTTTGGCAAACAGCTGCTTTTCTAACATAGGACAAACAAACTCTACAACAGAAATCCGTTGTAAGGCTGACACTTTTCCTTTGCATGTGTGATCCTGCAAACACCAATCTATATCAGAGGTTGAAACCTCACTATTTAAGTAAAACAGGAAGGATTTGCTATGTCATGTCTTATGGGCTTTGTAAAGTTATTGAAAAGAACTCATTAATTTTGTAATATGACAGAGGGATAGGAACTGTCCTAATGACTGTATTAGAAAATGTCTGTATATGGGGCAAAGAGCCAGCAGCTTATTGCAGAACGGTGCTTCCCAGGAGAACTGGTGATTCATCTGATTTTAAACCTTTTCCAAAACACAGCTATCCTGAAAGTGAAACTACTATAAATGGAGGGGCAGTTACATAGCAGGGCGTTTTAATAAAACCAGAATAATGCTATACTATTTTAAAACAGATGCTTAGAAATACACTGGTATTTAAGATAACTGAGTAATGGATAGGTCTTTTTACTATAATCTTCAAAATGACAGGGAACACCCTTTATATGAAAAATATGACCCATGTATATAAGAATACCTGGGTGAGTAGAACCATTTACAGGAAGCGGCCCCATATTTTTACCTTGTAGCAAAAGAAGCAATGAAGACCTTTTCGTCCTGACTTTGTCCCTGTCAAGGAAAGCATCTGAAGATAAATAAGAAGCTATTCACCCCAAAGAAAATCATTAGCTGTGTTATAAATAGCAGGAAAGAAGGTAATCCTTTCTCACCTAATCAGCACAAAGTACCCATTGGAACATAAATAAATTTTCATAAAGAGTTATATCAATACAGAACTTGTAACAAAGATTTCCATTGAAGAAGGTCAAATAAAGGCAAATATATTGTCTTTTCCTTTTCTACTTTTTTCCCCACTGTCTGACACCTAATGGTAGAAGTTACCGAAACATTAATACAACACCATAATTTTACATTTATCAGAGATTCATGAAATAACAAGCCTTTCTTGAAGTATCTTTTTGTTACCTTAGGTGTTTGAAACTAACATTAAAGGAGCTTAAGTGTAGCACAAGTCTGTCATTGCTTGACCATCTAATTTCATTAGTTTGTAGCAAGTTTGTAGAGATTGAACTGCTAGGTTAAATTAATTCAGTGTTCTTTTGTCCCTCGAGGGATACTGAGAGGTGTCTTTTAATACCAGCTACCAGAGCTGAGTGGACAGCAAGGTGAAATATTGGTTGGGGAAGTCTGCATAACTCCTTAAACCAGCTGAGGACCTAGCTGAAGAGAGGTCCAAAGTCCTGACTATGCAATGTCTGTCACGTCATTCGCTGATCACAGATGACAAGTTCACTGCAGCCAAGAAGTCAGAAACTAAACGCAAAACAAAATAAACTCAACAGACTAATTTCTGCATAAATCCTGTCTTTGATTCCCAGGTTTCCCAATCACCAGATGTGCATTCTGACAAATAATAGATAATACATTATCTGTCCATTTATTATGGCAAATAATAGGTAACACATTAGAAAATATACCTAGTTTACAGATACTGTTTCTCCTGTTCCCATACAAAGACTTTTGGACATGACCTTACAAAGTTACACCCCCCGTTTCCTGATTAATTCCTCATGACTGTAGTACCTTCCTCAGGGAAGGATTTTGCTAATCATTCAGTCACAAGTTTTCCTGAGCACATTAAGTCTGCAGTGATTAAGTTTACTGGTGACAATTATACCAACCAGAGCAAAGAAATTTTCAATTCCCTCCACTAAGAGAAGATGATTTTTTAATCCTTCCATAGATCAAGCAACTTATATGAGCATGTACGTTCTAGGAGATGAATTTTCTCTCTTTATCAACACTGGTTATCAGGCCTCTGAAACAAATCAGCCTTCTTTTTTAATGATTCGCCATGTTAATAGATTGGTTTGCAGATTTTTTTATTATTTCTTTTTTTTTGTCTTGAAAAAATCATTCTGTATTTAGTTAAGTTTCTATAGTTTAGCTGAGTCGGTCTGTGCTGATTGTCTAACCACAGCCACTATGTACCAGTTTCTCTCTACCAGAAAAATGTTTTAAAAAAGAGATTTCTCATTTAGTTGAGATAAAAAGACAGACTCTGTGTACGTGTGTTGTTTTTCACTACTTATTGACTAGAAGGGTTGATTCAGTCAATTTACTTGTTACTGTATGAATTCCAAAGAGAATCAGGAACATCCAGGTAAACCAGAGGAGAAGGAGGCCAAGTGGAGACTTACCTGACACTGAGTCTTTGTATTGTTCATTATAGTATTCGGTATTGTTGGGAGGGGGGATATTTTCTCATAGTAATGAGAAAACCAGTGAAAACAATCAGAAAATTTTTGTTCTGGTGCAAGCAAATAATAGTTGTTATTCCAACCTGGACAGGATATAATCTATAAGTGAAACCAGTATACATTCTTAGAAAAGTATAGTTCCATATTTCTTTTTTTTTTTGAAGCACACTTTATTTTTGAGTTTTAAAATAGATTTTTAAGTTATAAAAGCCTCAGAATTAAAAATAGGATGCTCTGTGACCTTCTTACTACTTAGGCTCTCAATATGCCTTTCTTTGTCTACCACTTTTGTGACAACTGTGAATGACTGTAGTATTCCAAAGTGCTGTAGAAAAGCAACAGTATGTTCATGATAAAAACTCTACAAATCTCTTTTTTTACCAGTTTTGCAAATATGAAAATATTTAGTTTCAGTACTGTTTATGCCTTTTTGAGCAACTGCTGGGAAGACCAAGCCATCTTTATAGATATGAATTATTTTAAACATACATAATGGTACATAAACAGCGGCTGCACGTTTTGCAGCTTACCTGTGGTAAAGTTCCGTGGCAATCTAGGTGACACTATTCAATGCAGAACAAGAGAAAGAAGAATACAAGGCTCACTTCCACTCTCACTCAGATTAATAGTCCAAGTCACATTAACTTCAGTGAGATTGTCATTGAGTTCTGAATTTGTAATAAACTTCCAGTGAATTCCACCAACGCATTGCTATTTAGGGCAGGGAGTGTTTGCCTGAAGCACACCAAACTCATTTATTTGGAGGTCTTTGTATAATAGTGCAGCCAAACCCTGAAGGTTTCACTTTGTTTCTTTTTAGCAGAATTCCAATTTACTGTACTGATTAAAGGAATTCTGATTTGGCCCAGAATGATAACTTCATTGGAGATAAAACTTGTTTCTAACACAGAAATTGGGGTAAGGTAAAATAACTGTAGTTCTGTACCAGAGGAGGAAGTGTTCCTGTGCAGAATGAAAGCCACCTGCCTCTGTTATGCAGACTCATGTAGCACAGGAGGACGTGCCCCAGCAAAATAATCCACATTCCTTTCCCAGTTTCTGGAATAAAGTTCATAGATGGTCTTTGAATTGGCACAATATGTGCAAATCCATAAAATGCAGAATAACAAAGCTGTGATGAACGAACTGTGTGCATATGCGTGTGCTGTCTTTTACAACTTCTCCAATAGGAGGGTTGGCTCGATATACTGTCATCTCTCTGATATGTCAAAACCTGTATGGAGACTTCATGGATCACTGACTTCAAAGGCTGTTCCCATCTCCTTATTAGAGCAGCAAAATTTCTTAGCCAGTGCAGCGTATCAGCAGACTGAAAATGAACTGAAATGTATATTGGTTAAGAATGCCAATGCTCATAAACAGAAAAGTAACAGCTTCAGTATTATTTCCAAAACCCAGGTATGTTACAGCACATGATTGAAGGTTATGGTAAGGCATCATTATGAAGTATTAATAATGTAAGACTGTAAGAGTAATGCATGCTATGCATAGAATTGCCTTTTAAAACTAACACATGGAGTAGCAGTACCAGGAATAACAAGAATTGTTCAGTGTATAAATAATGTAAGAAAAAGAAACGTGTTTGTTGATAATCCGTAAGGACATAAATGCATTTCAAATACACAAAAGCAAGAGGAGTTTTAGCATTGTGGAACTCTATAAGAAATGCAGACATAGAAAAGCTTGTTCATAACTGTTAAAGATGTGGCAAAATTATGAAAATAAGTGACTTCAGTACACCTATGAGTAATGTACTAAGTAGAACTCTCTTTTTTTCTATCGAATTTTTGTTTGCCTCAGAAGAGGCAAAACAGTTGTTTTATAAAAGACATCTTATTTACTATTAATATAAGAATAATCCTTAATTTATCCCATGAAAAGCAATCATTTTAGTTATTGTGCCATTAATTTTGTAAAAAAATCCACTTTTTATCATTTGTTTGATTGTTTGGAATTCTCTCAAATTCATTCACTAGTTAAAATTCAAAGCTCACTGAAGCTATTTAACCACTTATGTGATCATGGACTTCGTTGGCCCCACTGAAGTCCGTGGTAAAATTCCAGCTGGCTTAAATGGAGTCAGAATTTCACCCGTATTTTTTTTACTGATGGAGTATTATTTGGCAGAAGGCTGAATGTTAGCTGGAATTGACTTAATATTCCAGAACTCTGTAATTATTAAGTCTTTAAAAAAAAAGTTGAATACATCCCATTGGTAAAACCTTAGTGTTCTGTATTACTTGTTTATTTGAGGACACAAAACTTACAGTTGTTTTAGGAACAGTTTTAAGGGATCACCTTACATGTTTTCAGTTGAGTCACCATTATGATGAGGTCCCATGGGGAAGTGAATGTGGGTTGAAAC